ATTATAGTATAACAAACTTTGTCAGTAAGTTTAACATAAGACTTGTCGAACCTTCTTCAATGAAAGATGTTGTGCTACCCAAAGACGGAAAGGATGGACTCATTATTGAGATGATTTTAATAGCATATTAAATGAGTTTGTTTTTGAAGGTCATTCATGATGAAATAACTGTTGTAGAAGATGTTAGCAATTGTTCAGACATTTTGAAGCGTATAGATGATATAAGAAATAAGTTAGATAGACCGCAAAGCGGTGAGGGCGAAGCCCGTGAGAACGTTTATGTTTCATTGACTTTCTCCAGTAACGAGAACTTTTATGAGATAATGTTGAAGAGAGATGATTTTAATATGGTGTAAATGGTAGCTTGGGCAGCTTTAGGCGCAATGGGAACAAAAGCATTAGCATTTGGAGCAAAAGCACTTGGAGCCTATGACGCAGTAAATAAAATGAGTGGAGGAAGGGTTTCGAAGACATTAGATGCAAATAAAGGAAAGATTGGAGGCTGGGTTGCAAAGAAGTTAAGATTAAATAAAATAGGGCTCATAAATAAAGCATCCAATTTGGTTGCGACTGAGTCAGAAAATGCTTTAGGAAAGGACGATGAGTTTGCAAAACACGCAAAAGACTTTAATGACCAGATGAAAGGTGAAACAATGCATTTAAATAGAGTCGATGGAACTAAAGAAAATGTTTCTTCTCCACCAGTAGTTCTTCCGTATGGTCCTTATGGAATGTATGGAAACCCTTACGAAAGACCATTTGACCCATTGACTGGTGGAAGTAACTGGTATCATTACGGCCGAAGAAGAAAGATAGTCAAGTTGGAGACAGATGTGAAGAAAGCAACTAAAAAGAAACCAAGGAAGAGAGTTATAAAGCAATGAATTCAACAGGGTAGAAATGAGGTTAGATCTAACCTTCTACCCTAAATTTAAATGGATGTTTTCATACGTGTGGGAGTGGTGATATCATTTATTTTTAAATAAATGTGGGAACAAAAATATAACATTTCTACTCAGCAGGAATGAGACCCTTACTGACTATGTATTCGTTTAATGCTTGATGAAAACAATGGTACATATTATCGTATGGGTATACACAACGTCTGTTTCCATCGTCGTCGTATATGTAGAGCTCAAATCCAGTCCAACCTTCTTTTGTACAATATGTAGCTTTATTTAAGTATGCATTTATGTAGATAAGGCAAGTTTCTTCATCGCTCCAGAAATAATTTTTGTTCTTTGTTGAAATAGTTTTCGTTCCTCTGCGACCATAAGGAATGTATGCAATGAACTTTGCGTCATAAGGGATTGTAATATATTCAGGGTTTCTTTCATCATCAATGGGTCTGTCTTTGTTAAAATGCATGTTTCTCAGTTTTACTTGAGTTTTGAATAGTTCACGGAAACGTTCTGGGAAAGAGTCATAGTAAATGTAGTCGGACATTTCTTTGTAATGAAATAAAAAATTTAAAAAAATAAAAATAAGGTTATTTTTTATTTAGTGAGGACGGTAGTGAATTCGTTAGTGAATTCGTTAGTGAAGTCGTTTATGTGTCAGACGGTTTTGTAAATATTTAAGGTTAAGTTGGTGTTATGGTTGTGTTGTAAAATATACGTTACTGGTTTCGTAAAGTGTCAAGACCGCTAAGTGGTGTACGGAGGCGCGCAGTGCCTCAGTACACGACTTAGTCATACTAACTAGAAATACACACCATTTGAACAGAATTCATAATCTTTGCTGAAAGGAAGAATAAGAGAAGAGTTAAGTTTGTCTGTAGTTTCATTCATGTCTTCATCTACATCATGTATTAAATGCTTCATTTTAATCTTATTAAAAATGCAAGTCAGAAATATTCAGAACATAGCACCGAGTCTAACTGACAAGAGTATAAAGATATACTATGAACATGTTATGATGAAACCTACCAAAATTCAAGAAAGTCAGTATACTTATGAATATCCAAGGCACTGGGTAGAGTATGTAGGAGGTGAGAAAGCTATTGAAATCAGACAGGTTCGAAGTATTCCAGCAGGAAGAACAATATTATTGAAGAACTTTAATGTTTTGAGGTATAATGATGAAACAAAGAAGCAAGATAGTTTTCCTGTTGCTGTGTATGTGAACTTAGATACAGGAGATGACATGAAAGTTTTTAACACAAAACTTCAAACAGTAGTGAGAGAACAACTGACTGCGGAAGGACATCCATTACCTTCAGAAGTTAGCATAGCATATAATTTTGAAACAAACACAATAGATTTTAAAGTCGTCTCTGCAAAGAAGTCAGGATTTACATTTAATGAAGCAGATGTATATTCGAATGAAAACTTCAAAGCTATTGCATGGTTAGATAATGACGATTGCTTTAAGAAAATATTTAAATACAGTGACTCAACGATGTCAATAGATGACCTTCGTGGAATGTTACCATCGACGTTTATAGTTGAAGGTTCAGCAGGATTGCTTACAAGATTGTCAATTGGTGGTATTTGGTCTCGTGAGAACATTGTTATAAAATCCAGTATAAGTGAATTTGCTGAAGAATCTATATTATGTCTTTCAAACTATATGTATTCGCCACCGAAGCATTATAGTATAACAAACTTTGTCAGTAAGTTTAACATAAGACTTGTCGAACCTTCTTCAATGAAAGATGTTGTGCTACCCAAAGACGGAAAGGATGGACTCATTATTGAGATGATTTTAATAGCATATTAAATGAGTTTGTTTTTGAAGGTCATTCATGATGAAATAACTGTTGTAGAAGATGTTAGCAATTGTTCAGACATTTTGAAGCGTATAGATGATATAAGAAATAAGTTAGATAGACCGCAAAGCGGTGAGGGCGAAGCCCGTGAGAACGTTTATGTTTCATTGACTTTCTCCAGTAACGAGAACTTTTATGAGATAATGTTGAAGAGAGATGATTTTAATATGGTGTAAATGGTAGCTTGGGCAGCTTTAGGCGCAATGGGAACAAAAGCATTAGCATTTGGAGCAAAAGCACTTGGAGCCTATGACGCAGTAAATAAAATGAGTGGAGGAAGGGTTTCGAAGACATTAGATGCAAATAAAGGAAAGATTGGAGGCTGGGTTGCAAAGAAGTTAAGATTAAATAAAATAGGGCTCATAAATAAAGCATCCAATTTGGTTGCGACTGAGTCAGAAAATGCTTTAGGAAAGGACGATGAGTTTGCAAAACACGCAAAAGACTTTAATGACCAGATGAAAGGTGAAACAATGCATTTAAATAGAGTCGATGGAACTAAAGAAAATGTTTCTTCTCCACCAGTAGTTCTTCCGTATGGTCCTTATGGAATGTATGGAAACCCTTACGAAAGACCATTTGACCCATTGACTGGTGGAAGTAACTGGTATCATTACGGCCGAAGAAGAAAGACAGTCAAGTTGGAGACAGATGTTAAGAAAGCAACTAAAAAGAAACCAAGGAAGAGAGTTATAAAGCAATGAATTCAACAGGATAGAAATGAGGTTAGAAATCGGGTTAGATCTACCCATCTACCCTAAATTTATTTTTGTGCTATGTTTTCATACGTGTGAGGGTGGTGATATCATTTATTTTTAAGTTTATTTTTTTATAAATGACAGAACAAAAATAAAGCATATCTACTCAACAGGAATGAGACCCTTACTGACTATGTATTCGTTTAATGCTTGATGAAAACAATGGTACATATTATCGTATGGGTATACACAACGTCTGTTTCCATCGTCGTCGTATATGTAGAGCTCAAATCCAGTCCAACCTTCTTTTGTACAATATGTAGCTTTATTTAAGTATGCATTTATGTAGATAAGGCAAGTTTCTTCATCGCTCCAGAAATAATTTTTGTTCTTTGTTGAAATAGTTTTCGTTCCTCTGCGACCATAAGGAATGTATGCAATGAACTTTGCGTCATAAGGGATTGTAATATATTCAGGGTTTCTTTCATCATCAATGGGTCTGTCTTTGTTAAAATGCATGTTTCTCAGTTTTACTTGAGTTTTGAATAGTTCACGGAAACGTTCTGGGAAAGAGTCATAGTAAATGTAGTCGGACATTTCTTTGTAATGAAATAAAAAATTTTAAAAAAATAAAAATAAGGTTATTTTTTATTTAGTGAGGACGGTAGTGAATTCGTTAGTGAATTCGTTAGTGAAGTCGTTTATGTGTCAGACGGTTTTGTAAATATTTAAGGTTAAGTTGGTGTTATGATTGTGTTGTAAAATATACGTTACCGGTTTCGTAAAGTGTCAAACCGTTATCTTGGGTAAGGTGGAACGCAGTGCCTCCGTACCCAAGATAGGTATATTAATTACATTATTCTTTTTGGACATAGCAGGGTTGGAAATTTCTTTGAAATTTTGAACTTCTTCAACTTCTTTGTAAACGTCGCTTTCAGACGATATAGGTTCCTCGTCATTGTCTGATTCAGATTTGTCTGTAGTACTTTTCTCGTTTGGAGCATTTGAAATTTTTTTATTTTCAAAAGTCTCGGATTTTGAACTTATTGGTGTCTCAAAAGATCCATCTGATAATTCTGGAATAGGATATGGACTCTTTTTACCTTTAGCCTTTACCTCGAAATCATCATCAGAATCATCTGAGAGAGGTTCATCTGTAACTTCTGAATTTGAACTGCTGTGGTCTGAATTTGAATGAGCCTTCTCAATTTTGCTTGTTTTGCGAGTAATTTTCGAAAATTTTTCACCAAGATCACCATTAGGCTTTTGTATGTTCTTTTTTCTTGTAAGACAACGATTACTTCTTTGTTTTGGAAATTTGGTTCGGTTAATTTTCGTGATTCCCTTTTGTTCGATTGAGAATAAATTCTCGGTGAGTAATGTTTTATTGAATTTGTAATTTGATGGATTTGCCATTGATTTGATCACTTGATTAACCACTTTATTCTGATCATTTGGGATTTCATTGAGAATCTTCTCATCATTTTGAGAAAACTCACCTGTTTCTGGTGTAAAGTCGATTGAATTCTCGTTTACTTGATTTGACTGTTGAAATTCTTTAAGTTTGATTTGATTTTTCTTGGAATTTCGATTTGTTTCGGATAAATAATTTGTAATTGCTTTTTTAATATTTGCTGTGGACTTTGTATAATTGACAGGATGTTTTGCTGGTTTTGTACTGAGTAATTGTTTATCCAACAAGTGTTTATCGACTTTCATTAAGATTGCAATCATTATTTCGAGGCTAGGATGGGCATTTTCTAATTCTTTCGAAAGCAAAGAATGGAAGGATTCAAGAGCATTATTTGTGTAGATATCATCCTCTGAATCTAATTGGTTAATGAACTCATAATCTTTCTTCCATACTTTTTTATAGTAATTTACGAACGGCTTTGCAATTTCTGAGGATGACTCATCGATTAATTTAAGTATTTGATAAAATGAGTCTTTTTCGACGAAAGGTAATGAGGAATAAATTTGGTAAAGTGTAAAAATCTCTTTTGGTATCTCTTGTTTCGGGTATAATTCTTTTATTTTGCGAATTAATGCTTGGCGATAATGAAATAAGCAGCCAGTAACCTTTGCGTTTGGACAAAATAATTTAATGGATTTGTAAAGTGCGATTTCAAAATCTACGTAAACAGTTTTGAAATTGTTGAACCCAATTATTGAAATTAATGCGGAAAATGCGGTTGTATACGCTTCTGCTGTCCGAGATTTCATAAGAATGTGGACAACAGGAATGTATTCATTCGTTGTTTGGTCAAGCACCATTAATGTAAGGAGTTGACCCTTGTCATCGAACTGTCTTGGGACGATTTTAAAGGTACCGTCCAAGAATAATTTTGTTGCTGAGTGACAAATTGAGACAGAACGATCATAACCGAAAATTATTATTGGTTCTGGGTAAAACGCGATGTATTTTAGAAAATTTTCGGAATTTTGTTTGGTAATTGAAAGAATTTGTTCCACAAAATCTGGAATAACCAAATTATGTGGATAAAACTCTTTGTATAATGTGCGTGGTAAATTTTCTGGTATTTTTGGAGGCCTTTCAAGTTTTGTTGCCTCAGAAAGTAAATATGATAATATTTGCGCTTCTGAAGTTAACGGTTGTATTGAATGGTGTTCACGTGTAATTTGCATTAGATCCCTAATTTTTGTTTCTTCTTCAATATCTCTAAAAACTGTACCTTTTGGTGTGCATGAATGCTCACCACTGAGAGGTTCGATTTTTGGAATTTGATTTGGGTACAGTGTCACTTTTATTTTGTAATTGCAGCTTCCTTCGCATTTGTAAACGATTGAATATGAATGTTCGGTGCCGGATGAATCAATTTTGTGAAATTTATAGGGAGGACTAATATAATATTGTGTGTAAACGTTTTTATCGCAATCTCTGAGTTGAATTGTGCAAGCACGCTTTAAATAATTCCATACGTGCTTTCTTAAATTTTTTGAATAATTTGGAAAGTGTAAATTTAAAAATTGATTCAGAAATTCATGCTTATTCGTAGCATCTTTTTGATATATGATAGCTGCTCCATTCAATTCATCGATCTGAGGCTGAGAAAAATGAAAAGTACGAGGAGGCATATGATTGTCAAAATTTTATAAGTTATATAATAGTGATCTGCACTATTAAGAGGAGTTTTTTCATTACTATTTTTTTCAGATTTCTTTACTTTTTCTGAAATTTAATTATAATTGGATGTTATACTTCAATTCCTTAGTTGATAATAAAAGAACATAATATATGATCTTTGTTTCATTATTTAATTTTGTTCTATTTCCTTTATTTGACGAGAAAAATGAAAATTGTTTTCGAAAAACTCCAAAAAAATTAGAGAAAACCGAATTTGTCTTGAAAAATTAATGATATTAAGCTCATTTTTGAAATTTTTTAAAAATTTTGGTGATTATTCACAATGTCAAAATTGAAATTTATCTAAGAAGGATGCAAATCTCATAATTTAAGGAAACAATTCATATATTTTGAAGGAGTGGAATAAAATTTTAGGCATTTACGATATTATTTTAGAAATTAAACTGATATATGAGAAAATCTAAATTTAGCAATTCTGTCACTTTTTTAAAATATGGATAATATTCTTCCATTTATTGTGAAAATTCTTTCCCAACCATTCTCTAAAGAAGAATTTAATCAATTTATGGATGCAATCTGGGAGATTAAAGAAGATCAAACTGCTGAGGTCTTATTTCATATATGCAATCAGTTTTCATATCTTCAATTTTTTAATAATTTACCATCAAGTTATATTCAAACCGATAATGAATTCGAATTCATTGGATTTTTATGCAATGATCAAAGAATTCTAGACGAATTTATAAATTCCTCATTTCTCAATAACTTTTCGTTTAATTTATTCTACAAATTTGACACTAATATTCAGAATGGAATAATTCAATCGTTTAATTCACAAATAAAAGAAGAATCAGACAAATTCAAAATAATAAATCTAATTATTAACGAAATACCAAAAAATTGCGTGATATCCGAAATACTATTATCATTTATAAATACACACAGGGAGTTTTTGCTTCCATCAAGAGCTGCGGAAATTTTTATAAACGTTATTTCAAATCTTAGTGATGAGACAAGTTACAATGAAGAAAACGTTATTAATATTTACAATATGTTTACGAGAGAATGTGACAAATTACTAATTGAAAATGAAAAATCAATACAAGAAATATTTTCAAACAAACAGGCAATATCAAAGAAAATTCATTTAATGGGTTATACGATTCTCAGGTCAGATTACAAAACGGTTATTTTAGAGCGCCTTTTCGCGGAATTTGGAAATACAAATGCAGATTTGTTAGCTAATCTAATACTCACGAATTGTATTTGGAAAAGCGATATTCTGCAATACGTTTTGGAAAACTTTGAGCCATCTCAAGTAACAAATAAATTACTTTTATTCAGAATTTCTAATAAATTCTCAGTTTCAATGCACACATTAAGTATCCATCGTTTTGTAAACAAGATACTCGAGATTTCAATCAAGATTTACTTTACAGACGAAAGTTTGCAAAACGAAAGATTAGAATTCGTTATCAAAACAATTTTAGATACAAAAGAAGAATATTTAGAATACGTACCAAAAGAACTAATTGAAAGATTAAAAATTACAGCAATGAAGATGAAATAAGCAAATTATAATGATATAATTTTTTAATATGAATAAATATTTGAGTGGGACTTATCTTTTGGCATCGGGATTGATCGGGAAATTGGGATCAACTCATTCAATTTTATCACGATTAATCGGGATAGATTTCAATACTTTACGGATCGGAATGATTTTAGGTGAAGTGAAAATTTAAAAAATTCATATCTTTCTTTATATTTGTTTCTAAGGGTATTCATTTATATAGCATTGAAGTATATATTATTAGCTATCATTACATATCGGTCAAGTTTGATTTGGACTTAGGATGTGTAATGCGAATGAAAATTATTATTTTAATTTATAATTAAAATAGCCCAACTTGTAGTATAGTCTCTAGCAATGTACCTGTCACACTATGGTAGGCTTTAAACTTGATTTTAAAGAACAAGCCAAATAATCAGATTTTAAATAATGAGAATTTAATGTAGTGAACACTTATTTAAGTTCGTGAATGAATCTATATCCTTTAGTAAAATACAATTGAATAGGTTTACACTCAAAATATATGAGTTTTTATCTTCTAGATATTTTATCGATTTCAAAATTAAAGTCAAAATCGATGTTATAGTGTTTATAATAATTGGGATTTGTCTGATTGCATTATGACATTATTAGAATGTTTGAAATCGATTTCTTAAATTTCAAAATAATCATATGTATCAAAAATTTAACATGTGGTAAGATTGTTATATGATTATTTTTTCGGCTAATGATATGTAAACTAGTAACAGCATGTAGAATGAATAAAAATAAAAAGAAAATGAGAAATTATTTAGTAAAAATTGAATAAGAAAAAACTGAGAAGTATTCAAAAAAATAATGAATTATAAAATATTAGTTTTATATAGTATATTAATATTTCACAATTTTATTTATGAATGTGTTTGAAATGAATTGAGAAGATTTTATAGGAAATGTATTTATGAAAATTGCAGAATGAGATTATTATAAAGAGTTAACAATAGGTAATATTAAAAAGATGGTGAAAGATGAAATAAGATATTAAATGAAGAAGAAAATAATAAAGAAATAAAAAAGATAAAGATTAAAAAAATAAATTTATGATAAAAAGAAAGTGGTGGTTAAATGTAATGTACTGTGAAGTTGCGTTTAGAAATATTGAGAAAGGTGAAAGATAAAAGAATATGAAATTAATTGAAAATAAAATAGTAGAATTAAGTAGGGAAGGCATTGTTTGCTTTAATATTATATGTAAAAGAGATATTGATATAAGGTAGAGATATAATTTAAAGTTTTGAATCAGAATGTCTTATTGAAAAACAGATTTGTCTGATCACAAGCACTTAAGACTTTTATAACAATAGAAATGTGTTTATGATATTGAAATAGTCAAGTTACAATTTTTTTCTAAGATGTCTTATTGAAAAACAGATTTGTCTGATCACAAGCACTTAAGACTTTTATAAAAAAAAAAAAAAAAAAAAAAAAAAAAAAAAAGGGAGTGGGGCTCCCAGGCACTTCGTGCCTTCTAGCCCTGAGGATGAATGAGTATAATGAAGTTTTTTTTTTCTTGGGGGATGGCTTCCAGGCACTTCGTGCCTTCTAGCCCCCGAAGATGTTTAGTATAAATGAAGTCTTTACAAAGTCTTTACGAAGAAGTCTTAACAAAACATTTACGAAGAAGTCTTAACAAAACATTTACGAAGAAGTCTTTACAAAGTCTTTACGAAGAAGTCTTAACAAAACATTTACGAAGAAGTCTTAACAAAACATTTACGAAGAAGTCTTAACAAAACATTTACGAAGAAGTCTTAACAAAACATTTACGAAGAAGTCTTAACAAAGTCTTTACGAAGAAGTCTTAACAAAACATAGACAAGAAAGTTCATGAGTGTAAATGACCCAAAAATAATGTTTATGTTAGAATGTTAGATCTAACATGTTTTCTAACATGTTTTCTAACATGGTCTAAAACTCTTGAATTTTCATGAAATTTACACCAAAAATAATGTTTATGTTAGAATGTTAGATCTAACACCTTTTCTAACATGTTTTTCTAACATCGTGAATTTTCCATGAAATTTACACCAAAAATATACTACTAGGGTCATTTACGAAGAAATCTCAACAAAGTCTTTACGATGAAATCTTAACAAAACATAGACAAGAAAGTTCATGAGAAATTAGATGAAGAAGTCTTAACAAAGTCTTTACGAAGAAATTCATGAGTTTTCTACGATGTTAGAAAACATGTTAGAAAACATGTTAGATCTAACATTCTAACATAAAATATATTTTTTGGTCATTTACACTCATTACGATGAAATCTTAACAAAGTCTTTACGAAGAAGTCATAACAAAACATCTGTCAAAAACCGCTTTTTAACTTCACTTAAAATGCCACGTAAGCTACGTAAGAATATACGTAAGAGGAAGAGAGCATTGAAACATCCAATAGTAAGACTAACACCACAACAACAGTTGCAACAACAAATGCTGAATGACCCCACTATGTTGCAACAAATGTCAAGCAATCCTATGCTTTTAAACCGAGTCATTGGTGCACAGAGTGGAGGTTTAAGAGCGGCACTTTTAGCGAAAATGGCAGGCTATGGTGGAGCTGCAGACGGAACAGCCTATAACCCTCAAAGTCAAATGAATTTGAGTTCACTCAAAAAT